TTTATTATCAAACTCTCTCACATTTACTATCAAACTCTTTCATATTTACTATCAAACCCTCTCACATTTACTATCAAACTCTCTCACATTTACTGTCAAACTCTCTCACATTTACTATCAAACTCTCTGACATTTACTATCAATCTCTCTGACATTTACTATCAAACTCTTTCATATTTACTATCAAACCCTCTCACATTTACTATCAAACTCTCTCACATTTACTATCAAACTCTCTCACATTTACTATCAAACTCTCTCACATTTACTGTCAAACTCTCTCACATTTACTGTCAAACTCTCTCACATTGAGAGAGTTTATGGGCAGTAAAACAAATTCCAAAATTGAACCACTTTTTAAAAAGTTTTTTATTGTTATTTAAAATGTTTAAATACAATGTGATGGGGCAGTTTTAGATTGTGAAGCATTCACTCAGGGATGTCCAATACTGAACCTCAAGTGTCTCTACCCCAGAGCTGTAAAGTAACAAAGTAAAAACACTTTATTACTTTACTTAAGTATAAAGTAATTACTCCTAGTTCATACTGGCTTGTTGTTTAAAAACCCATCCAGATAATTTGTGCATCCCAGACAGAAAGGGTATGACTTTAGTTCTACCACTGGGATGTTACGTTCTCTGCCTATTTAATTAATCATTTAATTTTGTAAAATAATTCAGATTATTTTGGGGTTAAAACACATTCTGTGATTTACTTAACTTTCATGTTTTCTTTGTATTTACTCTGCACAATTCTTGTTCCATGTCAGTTCAACAATTAAGAAAAGACTTACCTTTTTCCCTATACAACATGCCTAAATATTTCAAATTTCCAAGACTTTGTATTGCACTACAATTTGTCTAGCAAAAATAACAATACATGATTCAACAAATACAGCCATAATGGGACAAGAGCAGACTAAAGCCCTGCATGTTATTTTCAGCTCAATGTACATACATCTTAAATTTTAAAATCAGGTCAAAGTTACCTAAAGACAACAAGAGTTGCAGCTGTTTCGTTTACTTAACCAGTTTATTTTTATTGTGTTAGAGCAGTGTTTTTCAGCTCTGGTCTTCGAGGCACACTGCCCTGCATATTTTAGATGTTTCCCTGATTCAACACAGCTGATTTCAATTGATGACTGATTAACAGGCTCTTGTTGAACTGTAATCATCTGAATCAGGTGTGTTGGGGGGGGGGGTATATTGACTGGATCAAATTACTGTGAGGGTCATAACTTAAGTACAGTAGACTTTTACTCAAGTAATATCCTTAGAGGAGATTAACTTTTACAGTGTCATTTTATGGTGAGATACTTGTAGTTTTACTCAAGTATCACTTTGAGGTACTTCATAAGACTGCTCTATCCTGTTAGTTTTACTTGTTTCTTTGTTTCAACACAACTGATTTAGTGATTGAATCACCTCTTCATGTTCTGTAGAAGCCTGTTCATCATCTTTCCATTCAAATCAGGTGTGCTGAAGCAGGAAAACATCTGAGACATGCAGGACAGTGGGCTACAAGAACCAAGGTTGGGGACCTCTGGGTCGAAGAGGACATACTATCTCTTATTGTTGTATACTTTGCTCCAGTGAATCAGTTTCTTCCTCAGCTAATTCACACTGTTTAATAATCCGCCTGATGCCTACCCAAAAACAGTCAGTGCAATGAGTCCAATCAGTCACTATAAACAAGTTTGGATGACAATTTAACTTTAAAAGGATTATGATATTTTTGCCACTAATTTGCAGCCAACTCTTACAAAATACGTATATTTATGTCATAAATTGACTGAAAGCATTTCTCTTACTTTATAAGGTTCTCCAAACAGGTTGAATCCAGTTGAAAACAGGTCTTCATCTTGCTGGACCTCTTGGTTCCTCCTCTCCCACTCTCTCCTCTTCAGCACACTGCGGTCCGACTCAAGATGACTGGAAGCAAAACAACAAAAACAAAAGCTTACGTTTGTTACCTCTGTGACCAGACAATAATGTGACACAGTGGTTATTATTAAAACAGTCAGAACTGTAGCTGTTTATCTCTAAGTAGTATGAAAACAGTACAGAGTTAATAACCGTGTACTGTTTTCACTGTATACTGCAGGGCTGTAAGTTTACCTGATTTGTTGTTAAAAACAGAAAAATGTTACAATTTATTCACTTTTCTTGGTTCTCTACCTTCTGTCCAGCCCAGTAGGTGGTGGTACTGCACACAAAGTTTGATTTCCAACCACACAGATGTTTCCAGGTGTTTGTAATTATTGTCAGTGGTGGGTACCTGTCCACTAAAGTGCAAGTCTGCTAATTGTGGACCTAAATATTTCGTTTGCGCTTTAGCGGTCACACTAATTTTTATAATTCATAAGCGGGTTTACACTTTCTAAAATTAAAATGCAGTACTGCTAATAAATAATTATCTACCAATCATCATTATCTTGAACAGCTGAAGGTATGGCTGTCAATGAATCACAACACATGATCTGTCCAACAGAACCCCTCCCAGATAAACACATGTATTGGAAACATATACATCCTTCTTGACATTTGCTCTTGGTCACGGTTCTCATTTCCCACAATGCTTTGTGTCTGCTTACATAGTAGGAAGGCAATGTTTAGTACTCACTTTCCCAGCAAAAACATTAAACGTTTGTAAACCATACTAAAATTTGGATGTATTGATTTAGTTTACTTTACAATCAGAGCTCCCTTTTTAAAAAAAATAGCGTTTAAACGCTGGAGCTCAATACTTGACGTAATTGGTCGAAGCAACGGGGTTAGAGACTCAGAAATGATTTAAAGATGTTATGCTGACGAAGACTGACATGTAGTGGTCAACTGGAGCAACTATATGAAAAACTTTCATTTCCCGTCACAAATCAAATCCGTCATGTAAAACCAGAAATCATTGCTTCAGTTTTCCAATAAACAGTTTTAAAATTACTTTATTGATGCTTCTTTAATGAAAAATCTACAACAAACAAAAGAAAACGACAAAGAAGCAGCCGAACTAGCAATCCTCAACAACTTTTTAATTTCTACACCAGGAGCCAAAGATCTGTTTCAGGAAAACACATCCCCAGCAATTGATGCTTGTAGGGTTATTAGGGTTCATACACTGCTAAATGGCAATGTTGTACATATATTGTACAGTTGTTGCCAGCTGTTAAGTGTCAAATTTAACTTGTGCTTTAGAATTAGCTTCTGCTAATTTTCTATGGCATAAGCGTTTTTGAAGTTACAGACCTAAATAATTTCATAAGAGCTTTAGAAGTTGTGGAGTTAATTTTTGGATTAGCGCTGCCCACCACTGCTTATTGTCATAGCTGTCTTGTGCCTGTTGACGATTCTCAATGGTGGGCACAGATGAACAGAATGTTAGCTTCGCTAGCTCATAATCCACTAGCTAAAAATAGCTTTGCTAACACTAAACATGTAAAAAAAAGTTAGCAGAAGCTAACACTAACAGCTAATCTCTAACCAGTGACTGTCATTGGTGGGACTGACACCAACCTGTTGTTATGTTTTTTTTTATTGGTTCATTTTGAAAGTGGGCGTGGTCACCTGTGACTTTTCACCTAATACTTTTGCGTTACCTCGCAATATCTTTGCGTTACCTCACAATATCTTTGCGTTACCTCACAATACTTTTGCGTTACCTCACAATATCTTTGCGTTACCTCACAATATTTTTGCGTTAACTCGCAATATCTTTGCGTTACCTTGCAATATTTTTGCGTTACCTCACAAATCTTTGCGTTACCTCGCAATATCTTTGCATTACCTCGCAATACTTTTGCGTTACCTCGTAATATCTTTGCGTTACCTCACAATATCTTTGCGTTACCTCAATATCTTTGCGTTACCTCGCAATACTTTTGCGTTACCTCGCAATATCTTTGCGTTACCTCGCAATATCTTTGCGTTACCTCGCAATACTTTTGCGTTACCTCACAATATCTTTGCGTTACCTTGCAATACTTTTGCATTACCTAGCAAAATTATTTTGCATTCCCACGCAAAAGATTGTTTTGTATACGAACTGAATTAAATCAGACTTTTATTTTGAAATATCCTGTTACCAAAACAGGATGTGTCGCCAGAAGTTCGTGAAATTGACATTGATGTTGCATGGCTGCACTGTGTTAAAATATCGGCATCTGACATACGTCCATGTGTGGCTGTGTGATATTTTCATTCTAAAGCTGAATTAAAGCAGTTGGCTAACTCACTAATGGTGAACATGTGAGTTTGTTAATAAACCAGCAGGCATAACAGTGATTAACGACTTTTGCGAGGGAACGCAAAAGGTATTGTGAGGTAACGTAAAAGTATTGCAAGGTAACGCAATACTATTGCATGGGAACACAAAAGAAATTAAATCTCCCATGTCCCCTCGCGGGCTCTGTAAAATACCACCATAAAACATAGAAACAAATAATGTGATAAAGACTGTTCTGTAGGGAGATGTTCTCTGTGTATTTAAAAACAAATTTGACTGCAGTCATAGAATCAGCCTGCTTTGCTGAAGCTGTTGGGTCACCAGCCTTCTGTGAACGATCTGAAGTGCAGCACAGCTCAGATCCCAGGAGAACAGATGATTGTTTGTGAGAGAGCCTCCTGTTTTATCACATCCATGACCCAGAGATGAGCAGGTCGGCTAATTAACATCAACACAATTAAAATACTTTTTTTTGCTCTAACAGACTTTGTCTTCAACATTTAATCCACCAGCAAGCTGTGCGTGGGTGGGGAGAGAAAAGGGAAGCAATCAGAGGAAAGTAAGGTCGGGGG